TCTCTTGTCTTCATGACTAATTGTACTGATTGATCATCTGTTATCATTCTAGAAGAAGAGCTCAAGATAAGAACTTAATCTCCTTTGCGGGATCATCGGAGTTGCCGTCTATTTCGCTTGCTGTCAAGACTTGCGAATTGAGCGATTCGCTAGCTATGCGATCCGCGGTCTTGCTGCGGTACCAGCCAACCGAGCGCTCGCTGGTCGCGACGCGGCCGTGGACGCGAGCGAATCACTCGATTCGCAAAGTCTGACGGCCTTACGGATTCCCATTTATGCGCCAGAAGGGCTGCAGAGCACTGAGGTATGAGCTTAAATATATGAAATTACTTTAATTATTCAATGAAGCTTGCAAAGCATAAGTTTCTGAGCCTTTCGAATCTTTGACACTTAAAGAAGCTTACGATGGTCGAGGAGTCGTAGATGTGAATTTACAAATTCGGAGAAGCAAATAGCCCGCGAGTGTGAGGACGATGCGTTGCTAGCAAAAAATGTCGCCCCTACTACCTAGCAGAGTCGATACCCGATTCCCGCACCGCGGACGCTCCACCTTTCCTGTTTAGCGAAGAGCGTTAGCGTTGAAGAGGGCAGCATCGATGAGAGTCGCCCCGATGCGGAAATCAACAGGCAAAGAAGAAGGGGCTGCGCCGTTTCTCATGCTTTTTTCATCCTTGCACGCTGACCATCAGCTTTTTTTTGATGGCTGCCCTTCATACGTATAATCTAACTCTTCAACTTCCATACTTACATATTGAGGCACTGTTATATTATTTATTTATTATATGGATTTTCGACTCTTCTAAAATGTCACACCCTTTTAACATTGCTTGTTAGCTTGTTGAATTATACAGGCTTGCAAAATGGAAAGCTATGCTGACAAAAAAGAACCGAGCGTGCCACTAACTTGAATTTTGTTCAGCTCTAGGAGAAATCAGCCAATGGTTATCCTTGCCTTAATCATAACCTCTCTGAACCTTCCGCTACTAAGCTGTCAAAAAGCAATTGTAGAATGTTCTTTTAAAATTAGGTGGTTCCTGGTTGACGCGCTGAAACAGAACGTTTTTCTTGCTGACTGGCGATTTTTTACTCTTAAACGCATGCTTCTACAATCACTTTTTGTATCATGAAGTCTTTTTTTCTGCGAACAGTTGTTTCACTTCTTTTCAATATTAACTATGTTGAATTTTAGACTTGCCATAATAAGGAAGAGGGGCTCAGTCTACAAGCAATGACCAAATTACTCGCGTGCTGTGCGATGTAGGAGTGCAGTGGGACCCTTTATTATAACCGTTGACGCGAGTCTATAGTACGCGGCGAACTCGTCGCTAATTCGTCTCTTGCCCCCGCGCCCGGCTCTTGCTGGGAGTACCTGAACATCTCGACTGAACAATTTTCGGGTCCGTCGTCCAGATGGTCAACCTTTGGGATTTGGCGAAAAACATAAGTTTGAAAAAACAGCGACACAAATACGGCTTCTTACACAAGCCAATAGGGGAATTCTGAGAAGAAGGCTATGGGGATCAATGAGTACATCATTTCGATTTCTGGAATTTTTAGTAAAAACCCGCGCTAAAGCTGCTAGACTTCCCCATTGCAACCGTGAAGTTTAACAAGTTCACAATGAATGCAGAAATTGAGGCAACAGTTTCGTAGAGAAAAATGCAGTAAAACTAGAGAATTGTTCTAGAAAGTGAGTAGTCGAATGGGGAGTTCATGGTTTACACAGGGTCAACGTCTGTTGGGCTATTTGTGAACATTTTTCACTCCCCCCCCCTCTAAAGGGGATCGACATGATCCTACTCGCCGGCAAACACACGCATTTCGCCTCCGAAACTCCCGTCATAGACGGGCGAGACCGGAGAGAAGGAGGCCACATATGATAAGAGAAAGCGGCATCGTGCTCCTCGTTGTTGCTGGTTCATCGCGGTGCTCGCCTTGTCCGAGAGGTGCCTTTCTCACAGTTGTGCGCAGGGTCTTCTACAATAGGAAGGGTTTTGGTAGCTAAGCCATGACAGGGATCCCTCACTTGTTGACGAGCCTCTACTTTTTTCCCACTCTACTGCTTCACTTTATCCATTTGATTATTTCTTGAACTAAAGAGACATGGATTTCGCTTGGGATTGGCCCGTGCTCCCCGTCAAGTAACTTTTCACATCAAGCCGTTTGGACACAGTGAGCTTAAGTTGAAGTTAGCGTGAGTTATGGTATTCCTGCCACAGTCACGCACAATGCGCGACGCACGACGCGCTTTCTGAAGGAGTAGTCTTACAAACAGTGCGGCTTTCCAGGGTAACGATCGAGCATGGACAGGTGTCTTCCCGCGCTGCAGCACGATGAGGACCCACCTGTCCCGCATTCCACAACGGGGCCAGTTCAAATGACGGCCGTCCTTCACTCTAGATTAACTGCGCATGGTATAGTTGGCGAGTTGCTCGACGCATTCCCTCCTCGTCGAGAGAGCGCAGAGAAAACGAGAACTGGGAGGCGAACACACACTAAAATCGATAACAGGTGACATTCCGCGCTCCAATGCCAACGCTCAATACGTCGGGCGTTGTACGTGACTGCGGCAGGAACATCACAAATCACGCTGATTTCGTGTGCTCACCGTGTCCAGACAGCTTGAGTCTATTTTTTGGGTCTGTCTGTCCGCGGCGGACTTTGTGACGTGACTGTTCGCGCTGGTATAACAGAGAAGAATGTTAGGACCTGACTACCTCCCTTCAAAAAGCGAGAAAGTGTCGGGTGCAGACCATGCACCACAAGTGACGACGGCCTTCACAAAATGTTAATGTTTTCTGCCAATGAAATGATTAGCCTGTTGCAGTTGTATTCTATCGATTGTCACTAATTACAACTATCATTTACCAGAAATCAGCTATCACTATGAACAACTTCTAACCAGATTTACTTGGAGGCCGTCGTCAGTTGTGGTGTTTGGTCTGCACCCGACACTTTCTCGCTTTTTGAAGGGAGGTTACAAACTCTCGCTCTCGACACTTAACAACACAAGACATGTCAAGGCCGTAGTACCTGACATGTTCTGTTTTGTCTACACTTGAGAGCAACGGTAGGCTTGACAGTTCTTAGCATGTTTTTTTTTGTCAGCGGATTGCGTCAGCAGATGTCTCACGGGTCTCATCCGGTAAGAGGGGGCATTGCGGTGCACGGTCTGCTCTAATGCCAATTTGGCTCAAGGAGTCCTTTAAAGTTACGAGCTGCTATCAGCTTTTTTCCTATGTTATTTCTTCAGGTGTTTTGTGTAATGTATGTATTCTTGTACTAGATGACATTAACGTCTACAAAAAGTAATATTCACCTAGTCAGCAGGTCAGGATTAAGTAACCTACGCGCAACGCGCGGAGATAAGCCCGGGAAGAACGCAATGATTGCGCTACGAAACGCGGGGCTCCTTCCTTGTAGGTTATACTGAACGTGCTAGCATAAATAATGTGCCTTCCATGGTTTGAAATGTTTTGGATCGCATGCCCCCCCCTTACTGAATGAGACCCTGTCTCGCCGTCGGACAAATGAATCGACTTTTTATTGGCTTTGCTGATTTTTTTTTTTTGATTTAAAGCATTTACTCTAATCAATAATCACAACAGCTACTAAGCTGCTAACTCCGCCCCCCCGGCTGGTTGTCGGAGATTGGCGAACCTAGCGATTACGTTTGTTGTAATCAAAGTCCTCCGGAGAGCCACTTTTACTCAGGATCAACCGTCCGTTGGACTTTGTCCAACGAGAGGGTGGGGGTCGTATTTGGGGGAAAAGAGGGGGATCGTATTTCGCGAGGTAGCGTTAATGTTACAGTAAGGGAAGGGATGATTTTTTATGGAACGGAGAGCGGATTAGGTTGTTGGCAGGGGATTTTGAGTGCGAAAATCGTCACCATGATGGCGATAGAGGAGGGGGTCGTATCGAGGCCCTCTAGAAGTTGGGAGGGGATCGTAAAATTTTCGAGATTTGTCTAACGTGACGGTTGACCCTGCTTTTACTTACAGTGCTATATGATTCTGTGACCGCAAAAATAGCGATTCATGTATTTTCACATCCATCAATACAAGGTAGGTTTATAAATACTGTAATAATAACAATAAATAGTGAAAGTACTGAATATCACAAGTATAATTGCACGTTCTCAACACCGAGTGTCATTTCAATAATAGTAGGCGATTGCACGAAATTCTCCGCAACGATATATGGAATAATAGAAAGGCAATAGGCAGAAGGCGGCAAATAGCGGCTGCGTTCATACTCAGCGAATTCGTAGCAGCTTGGAGCTGGCTGCAAACTCGTCGAGCATAAACGTAGCATAATGCATCACATGTTGTCGGAATGGGAGCGAGCGTCAGTGTACTCGGAGACCATTAACAAAATATTAATAAGTGAACAACTGTAGCAGGTATAAAGATTACGGTACAATTACGGTAACATGTTTGTGTAGGTGGTTGGCTTCAATTACACGTTCTAACGGTTATAAATATTTTATGTTATCATCTAGGGTTGTTTGATTAGGCTGAGTTAAGGGAAATTTTTGTGGGACTGTGTTTTATAAGTCGGCGACTGAAACAAGCTTGTCCACGTGAAATATGCTATTGATTTGCAGCAGCGATCGTCGTCGCGACGATCTTTGTTAGTCGCGCGTCTTTCTGCTATGAGAAACTGTTCGTCTGTTGCCAAACGTGCAGCGTCGACACTCGGGTGCAACATATGGTGACGCGAGCAAGAAAAAATGTTCTACAACGAACATTACACGATGATATATCGATATGGATATAGTGAAATACACGGCGTGTTCCAGAAATGACGTCATCTTCCGATGACGTCATTTTCTCACGCTGTTGGCGGCAAGAAAGGGCGTGGCGAGCATGTGGCAGGCAGTCCTTTCCCTCACTCAACCTCATCATCACAGATTGTAGGGAGGTAAAAATTTGTACACAAGTCGTTGCTTCTTTTCGGCTTTTGGATGATTCCTAAAATGTACAACAGGTAACCAATCAATATCCGACGATCAATAAATCGCACAGCAGACCTTTTTTGTAGTATTGCCGAAGGCTTCGTGAAAGCTTGTCGTAGTTCATTTGGGCACGGTTCTTTCGTTGTCCCCAAAATCTCGCCAAATGATGAGACGACTCGATTTTAAAGGTCCCTGCAATACCGTACTTTCGAGAGGGTCGATCAATAATCGATTTACTCTGACCATTGCCTATATACCTTCATCTCGATCCACCCAACGAACACATGATCCATACTGCTTGTTGGGATGATCGAGCAGTTCGCGGATGAAGTGCCATAGATGAACGGTGCCGGAGTGTCGTGGGAACGGGGATGGGCGTTGCTCTTCGGTGGGCGGAGTTTGCGTGTTCGTCATACTAAAGTGATTGCAATCGATTCGATAAATCAATAGAGCTCTGATTTTCGGACTTACTCCATCCCGTTCATTTGGCCACAGAATCGCATTCCATCTTGTTGCATCTGTAGCATACTTTGCAGATCGATACATTCATCGTCAGCGACTAACGGAAAAATCAATAAATCGATATCCCGGGAAGGGCCTGGTAATTTCGACTCACTATCATGCATACTTGCATTACTGCTTCTGTCACTATCACTTGGCGAGGGAAGGACACCATTACCGAAAAAAGGCGTGGCCATCCTGTGCTCCGCCTCCGATAGCGCCTGCAACAAGAACTGTTGCCAGTTGGGTCCTTAAACGATCGCATGGGTTACGGTAACGCGTACCGTTGTTGAAATAGTGTTGCTGCTGATGAAGATCAGTGGGATGATATTGTTGCACAAAATCCGGCCGTCCAACGTTGTTTTTAATCGGCTCCGTGCCGATCATCGTCGTTTGGCCACCGGCGGTCATCTGAAGCGATCAATCACATCAATCATCAGTTTACCCAGGTACGGGTCCATGCAGAGGTTACCCAATTATTCTTTGGCATCGAGTTATCAGCGGCTGTAATACCGCCGTTACTCTGGCCACCGGCTTGCTGTTGCTGATGGTAGGACTCGAACGCTAAACGAACGAGTGATAAGGAGGATCGTACGGCTCGGCTTCATGGCGCTGTTTGCAGCAAAAATGGTCAGATTTGGCCAAACTCAGGTTCTCACAAAGCGTGTCCCATAAATCGTGCATGGTGATCAGTCATGGGAAGCTTATTACGATATGCTGTTCATTCAGCTACGGGTAACGCAACCCTTTTTTGGTGCGGTGCACGATTTATGAGACAAGCATGCGCGTACTGCTGTGCCTGACCGGTTTTCCATAGTTGTAGTTGAGCGTAGAGTGTGTCACCGCCCTCAGGTGCTAGTGCTACAAAGTCCTTCTGGGTCATACTGAGCAGTACTCGACCACTCAAATACGTTTGACGAGGTGGTGTCAGACTGAACTGTTGGCACATCTCCGAAATCCAACGCGAACCATGTTCCTGGGTCCAATTCTGGGCATCTGAAATGGCGATTCACTAATGAAAAAGACCTGATAAGCAAATAAATTATTTTGTTCCCGATCAAAAAAGCGATCAATTCGGCGTATCGATTATTCTGAAGCTAAATGGCACCGTGCCAAAAGTAACAGTTACATATACCCACCGTCATCCCAGCTGGACGCCCGATGTCGTCAGCTTCAGGGGTGGGGCCAGTAAGACCGGTTGACCGTTCGGGAGTGGGTCGTTATGGGGACTCCCTCCGGAGGGAGCCGGTAGTCGTCCAATTTCCATATTTTTCTCAATGTTACGCTTGGCCCTGCTTCTGACTACATTCTGATGTGCGCTGTGAAATTTGTGTGGGTTATGCGTTACATTACGCGGGTGTCCATGATTCCAGAAAAAAAAACTCATTTTTAGTCTACGTGACAACTCTTGACAATAGAAAGGTACGGCACCCAGCGATGGTGATGTGTTACCCATCTGCGTATTTTGTTGTGGATGGGTTATATCAGGGACAAGATCTATAAAGTTAAGGTATTTCGCTCGACCTAGTCGCTCTCTTTATATTCGATAGTGATGGCTATTCATGCCGTGTTTTTACCAGTTTTCTAGCTGAACAGCGATTCTCGTAAGGGTAGTGGTCGCGATGGCCGAAGGGCGGTGCGGTTTCAATGACGTCATCGACAGTCACTTTCGGACTAGACCCATCGGCGCACTGAGGGGGCGGGGATGGTCGGGAACGATTCCTAACGCTCTTCCACCAACAATGAATTTCGATGACGTCATCGAAATTTCTACGCACTCCAACCATTGTGGTCACTGCCTTTAAGTTTTCCCACATTCACCTTGGGCTACGCTTTCGAACGCTAGGATTATGCTAGATTACAATATGAATATATCACAAGGACATGTGAATTGGCTGGAATAGCATTGTGTTCTCTAACAGAGCCTTGTTTGAGGGCAGATACATCTCAACTGCAAACGTCTGCATGGCTTTCAAATGTCCAAATCTCAGGAGTGTAGATTATGGGTTAGATTTTCACTGGTTTACCTTATTCTGTACCTGGACTCTTGCTAGTGAAAGCATGTGATGATCGAATGCTGCAGTGTCCTTGATGGGCCATTTAGAGCAATGGCTTGCGGGTCTGGGCAGTTAATACTGTCCGTTGTTCCAATAGCAGAATTTTGTACGAACCTTTCCTTTCAGGGGGTCCGTCGGCGCCCCACTCACGGTCGCATAGGGATTACCCGTTACCCTCATCACCTCGAAATACTTCTTCAAAAACAGCTATGGCTCCATTGCCTGTCATTTCAAGTCCTCTTGAGTATGCCATTGTCAGGAACCGTAGACGACCCCTTTAGACGGGTCTGCAACACAATCCTCCCAATTTTCCGCCTCGCGACCCTTTGAAGATCTTAAATGCGTTTTCCTTCTAGTCACCATAACCGCTAACATACAAGAACCAAAATACGACCCCCTCCAAAAACCCAGATACGGCCCTGTTGGGAACTCTGCAATGTAAGGTTGTCCCTGGTTATGGGTTATGTCATACGGTAGCGCGGGGGATGGCAAGAGATCATAAAGTTTATTTTTTCTATCGTTAACATAAAAAGTATTGGGAGCCCTTGTCGACGTTTATTTGTCAAGGGCGATTCGTTTACTTCCGGGTAGCGCGAAGGCAAACAGGCAAACAATTTTCAATAAGCTTAGCGAGTAAGGAGAAAACACCGTTGCTCGAACTTCGAAGAGTGCGCCACCGTCCCTAACTTGGTTACACTTACCTGTTGGCAAACCTAGCTTGGCACATGTGGTGCTAATATCCTGGATAAGATGTCTAAGTATCAGATCTCTGAAATTAGTTCGATTTGATCGGTTAGCTCAATCGATAAATTCGATAACAACCAACCTGATGTCCATTTGTTGAGCGTACACACAGCACTGCTTCATTTTGGACATGTCACTGATTGGTTTATAGCAGCCACAACAGGTGTATTTTATGGTGGCGCGTGGAGGTTCACGATCCGAGACCGACCGAATCCACCGTAAATCTCTGAACAAGTCGAAAATGCGAAAGGCAGAGACTGCAGACATTTTCTCTTTTTCATGGACTCCATGGAGAGGTAGGGCGCTAAGCTGTGTTTGCGCAGGACACTAGGTAATCATAGCAGAGCTGCAAGGAGTTGAGCTTTAAGAGTCCTCTCGGGTGTGCGATGCATCCTGCTTTGTGCATTTGATGGCACCAACGGGCCTTGACCATGTTCGAGTAGCTTTTCTCTGTCTAGCCTTTCTGGTAGATACGGTATTAGTGCGAAGCAAAAGTTCCGATCGAGCAGGAATCCATCCGCTGACAGTGGGAGTGGTAAGCTGCGCCTTCCTGGCAATGCATCGGTCATGCCTTTGTAAAGTGGAACTTTTCCTTGCGTCTCCTATTAATTTCACTCTTCGACTATGACTGACTGTGGGTTTCCCGATAGTTTGGAGGGCCTGTGAACTTTCTCCAAGTTGTCGTACGCGAAATCAGAGCGCAGGATGATTGGATGAAACGACGCCAGGTGAGGGCTCGGAAGGTACCAACAAGGGCTCCAACCGGCCAGGCGTAGAAGAGAGACGCAGAGGGTTAGGTGACGGTCGCGCGGCATATTTACGAGAACGTAATATCTTAGGCAATTCATCAACTTGACGTAAATGTGCGTATGCGACTCGCTCGCTGATGCGCGCCTTCACCTGTGGCTTCTCTCCAGTAACGGGTTCTGGGGCAGAGTCAACCCTGCGTTGCGCAGTTCGCAACGGCACGTTGAGAGATCCTCAACGCACGCTGTATGGGCGGAGACGCAGACGGCTCGAGCATGCGAGTGTGAATGTTCGCGCGAGAGAACGTGTCTAATCGGGCGAAACTGCGCAACGTGGCCGTTGAGAACTGCGCAACGCAGGGTTGACTCTGCTTGGGATGCCTACATGAGATTATGGCGGAAAGGCCAAAATAAGGGAATATAAGATTCGGATCAGTAGGAATAACTCTGGTAGGTGCCATTCACAGTGTGGCCAATTTGAAGCGTGAATCACGGTAATCATGGCCGCTGTCCAGAGAACGCGACAAGAGCGAGACGATTAATTGGGCAGTATTAGGGCCGAGGGCATTTAGTCCGTAGCTTTCCGAAAGATCGGACACTGTTGAGCGCAGGAAACAGTCTCACTGTTTTTTAGTAGTTGCCTCTTTCCTCTTTGATAGCTCACCCAGTACGGGATTATTCCCAAACATCTTACTAAAGCCATGTGGCGTTGAGATCTCTCTGACCACCCAAAAATTGCTCCAAGGTGTCGGCAATACTAGGGTTCCCAGTTCTGCGTCTCATAAAATATGGTGATGAGCCCTTTTTTGTCCTAACATTTCCTCCTCGCCCTGGTCCTCTTTTTTGGCTCTCTTCAACTCTGACGTTCTATGTCAGTGTAACCCTGTAATCCCCCTACTTTGCAGCTTTCTCCCATTTCCCTCCCGGCGGCGGGCGATGAATAAAATGAGGGAAAGCGATGAGTCGTTTGCGCGTGGACGCGTCCAAGTAATATCCTGATTCTTCGAACAACTTTTTGCAAAGCGGCCGTGCGGTGAGCGACTCGTCTCGTCGTCGCTCGGGAGAAATGAGACCGGTTTGATCCCCACGCCGGCGACGTGACCGGTTTTGCTGCATGGCCGGCCGGCGCACGGCGGGACGTGAATGAGATCGGGATCAGTACGCAAACGAAACAGTGACGCGGGTCCGACAACTGGTAGAGAGTAGGCCATCGCCGCTCAAGGTACATAGAGGTAGTTTCGTCGCCTCACCTTCTGTTTGAGGATATACGGACTATTCGATGTGGAATTCCAGATAAGCTCAGTAACTTCTCTGACTACTCTACGATTTTTCAAAACTCTCAAGTTTACTTTTACGACTAATATCCTCGATTTCATTTGTCGGATGATATAAGATGATAACAGATGATAACAGGTGATGTTGGGTGATGTCAGATGATGCCCGATGATGTCAGGTGATGCCAAATGAGATAAAACAGGAGTGCGAAATTTTGATTTCATAGTTCTTACCTTCACCAGCCTCCGTTTTAACAGCGTCGTTCATGCCATTGAAATTGATGGTTTCTTGGACCTGGAAAAGAGAGCCTTTGAAATACTTGAATTAGGATTACTCGCCCTTTTACAAATCGATTTTTTACCAGAATTCAGTTTCATCAGTAACGGGGAGGGGACCTGTGGGCGGAAGTTTAAGTAATCGGACATTCAGGGCAGAAAGCTCTAAAAGGGTGTAAATCGAGGAAGAAAGTTTTTACAGCATCCGTTAGGATATCTCAATATCTACAAAATAGGTTCCTGTAGGCTACAGCTATTGTCGATTACATGCCCCTTACTGATACGACCGCAATCGATCACACGGCAGGTATAGTGGGTTGTCCTGAGTAGATTTTGAGAAGCGGAGCGGTGGCTCTCTAAGAGTCACTATCTAAAGAACCACCGCTTCTCTGTACAAAAAACATCTGACGCGCATTTGTCAAATTCTGTCTGCGTCTCTGCCGCCACCTCTCTTTTCTCTGTGCCCTAGTCAGTCTTAGCTCACTTGAGACTGGACATCTGAAGGATCCTGCCAAAGCACCGCTTCCAATGACTTGAATTGCCTCGATCTTTGACCATGTTTGTGGCGGTCACTTTCCATACTGGCCATTATCGAACGTAATTCTATCCATATTCCTCTGCGTCTCTTCCTGACTAATCTTTGCTTCTCTGTTCTCTAGGCAGTCTCAGCTCATTGATTAGCAACTATATGTTAAAGGATATAGTAAAGGATTAGCTGGGTAGGTTCTATGTAACAGGACATAGTAGAAGGGATTACTGGGGTAGGTTCCATAACACCGAATAGCTACCATAACTTTGAGCGCCAGCGTTTCCAGCCCAGTTTTGCGACCATTCTCATCACGCAGTCATGCTTCTCTCCATTTTCCTCTGCGTCTGTGCCGGTGGTCCCTGTTTCTCTCCTCTTTGGCCAGTCCCAGCTCATTTGGGAAGGCGAAAAAGATGGCATGGAACTTAGAATGGATCACTGTGGAAGGTTCCATAGCAATGACCGTATTTCTATCACTCTTCCTCTGTGTCTCTGCCGGCCGGCCCCTGTTTCTCTGCTCCTAGCTAGGTTCTTTGTGATACTTCGGATTTGAATCGAGCCTCGTAAAAGGCAGGCAGTCATAGCCACAACTTAGTTCAACGACTTTAAAGGCCCACGTCTACAATCCATTTCGACGGCCATTTTCCATTTCAACGAGCGCCGTTTTCTTCCCCTTTAATTTGTCGTCGGCGGCGATTTCTCTTATTGTCGACGACGAACATGAACCGGGCGCCATTAGTGACCATTGGTCGCGCGCAACCGCCGCCGTGGTGGCCGTCGTAGTCACCTAGTGGAGGAGGCCTTTCTCCTCTCGGAGGCGCGTACGACCGACCGACCGACCGAACAAGTGAAACCCGTTCGATCCGTACTAGGTGTGAAAAAACCATGAGTCAGACAGACCGTCTTTTAACGATTAGAGCCCTCTGCGGGAAACCGGATCCACGAGACCAGACACTACCGTTCATGTAATTCGCCTGGAACTTTCAAGATGGCCGACAGATATGGCGCTGATGGCTCCCCGACGGGAGGTATGGAGTGAAACTCGGGATACTGGATGGGAAGTCCGGTTCAGTAGGTGGAAGTTTGGATAACTCAATGTTTCTCCCTTGTTGTCGTACATCGGATAGATCTCGGCGTGGGATAGTCGTCCTCCAACCCCCAGACTTCCTGGCCCCCAGACTGGAACCCGTGGTTCCTCAATATCTCGTCGATGGGTTGAAAGAAGCACGATTAGGCGCTGAAACCTGCACATGAGCCTCCTTATCGTCTCGATTATAGGTAGGCCTTCCAAGACCTTTTTGTATACCTCCAAAAATGTCTTACTTTATTCTCATAAAAATTGGTCGACATCGATTATTCCAAGATGGACAGGAAACGTCATAACAATGGAAACCTCTATCAGTGCTTGTTATCAGTCTATCACTTATCTTTGGTCTTTTCGGCTATGAACTCGAAAAGATATTGGAAGTTGAAGCTTCCACCTAGGTCAAACGTC